CAGACAGCAGGCTTGGGGGGAGAGGAGAAGGGCAAGAAGCTCATACCCAAAATCACAAACCTATTTTTTAAACCAAAGCACATTTAAATGAGTATGGAACCTCACTCGGCTCACGAAAGAATCCGAATATGTTTATCTCATTGTTTACATAAACTTTTACAGTTTCAGACCTCAGTAGATGGAAGGACCAGTCCCAATGCATCCCAGTTTTTCCACTCACAGCCCCCAGCCCCGGGGGATTTGCCTTATGCTCCCAGCAGCTCACCGGAGTCTTAGCGTGCTGGGGTGGCATGAGACCTTCTGGGCAGCTCCAACCCCGGACGGCACCAAAGAGCCTCGACCAGTCCTGGCCGGCTGGCCAGGACTGGCCGCAGGATCCCAAGTTTGGGCTTGGCACAGGGATGGGGGCAGCCCCAGGGAGGACCAATATCAGGTGGGGGGTCTGCCTAGGGCACCAGTCCCCCCCTTGCCAAAGAGTGGAGCTTGTGTGGGTGGGTCTGGGCTGCGCCGGCTCCTGGCCCTTCTCAAAGATGGTGCAGACACTCTTTTACAGTGTTCTTTTTGTATCAATCTGTATGTGCAGTGATGAATGTATTTATTTCTCAGACTGGGGCACACTGGCCACTACCCCCTGGCCAGCTCGGGCTGCAGGAGCAGCTCTTCCCGGATTGCAAAAAATAATACACGAGACAAACGTAAAAGGCAAGAACAGAACCTCAGAGACTTGCAGCAGCGTAGCCATATGCCACGACCTGGAGAGACTGGCCCTGCGTGGCTGTGCGGACAAGGCTTGGTCTCATTGGGTCTGTCCACAGTGACCGCAGAACTTCTACCATTGATTCCAGGGGTGGGGCCCACCCCCCCACCCCGCTTCGGCTTGTCAGTATTTGCCACTTTGGTGCAGGAGTGCAGGCTGGGCTGGAGGGAGCAGGGTGTAGTATGTCCGTCCATCGTCTCACACACACACACACACACACACACATCCACACATGCGCGTGCACCTGCACGTGTCCTGTGTTAGCAATAAGGTTCCTGAGCAGTGCACCTCTCCTGGAGGCCAAACAGAGGGCAATGGAGGGGCAGGCAGGGGGGCCCCCAGAGCATTCCTTTGCCCTCCGTCCGAGACCAAGGGCCTCAACATCTTAGAATCGTGTGCTGGGGGCAGGATATCTTAGGGAATGGGGATGGATACAGCCAGAGCTTCAATCTGACATTCCATGGAGGTGAGGGGGAGGAGAGGATTGGGAATGACATCAGGACCCCCTCCAGCCTCTTCCTTGCCAGGGGGGGGAAAGGGTTTTCCTCCTATCCATTAGTTCCTGCCCCCTTCCCCCCCAGCCCCACTATTTATTGCTGTAATTTATTGACCTCAGAAATGCTGCATCAGGACCTCGGGGCAGGGGAATTCTCCAGGGCTCTCCCCACAGACACACTCAGTGGGGCCTCAGGGGGCCAGGTGCTGAGGGGAACCTCCCATGTCCCTCCCTGCCTGCTCAGTATTTGAGCCCTTGGGGCCTCAGGCTGGGGACTGACCCATTTTGCAAATACCTCGTCTGGGTTGGGGGGGGGGAGGGTTATAGCTGTTTTATTTAAGTCAAACTGGAAGAGGGATCTCCTGTTTCCTGGGAGGGCGAGGAGGGCTCCCAGGACTGCACTCCTGTACCAGCCATTGCCCTTGGCATCACTCGGCCCATTTCCCTCCAGATTTTGGAATTCAGGTCAGAGCCACTGGAACCTGGGGCTCCCAAGTGTCATAAGAGAAATTCAGAAAGTCTGATCTCCATTCAGAAGTGTGCAGTCTTAATGTACAGTGATGAGAAACTGCTATTTTATGATCTTTTCATTAAAAGCTTGGTTGAAAATGAGCCTGTGTCCTTCACTGCTTCTGTTGCGAGTTCATTCGACCTTTGGGTAAAGCCTGGCAAAGGACAAAAAGCCCTTCCCTTTTTGCAAAGGGAGCTGGCCCTGCCTTGTTCTGCAGATGAGGGAGTTTGAGCCTCGCCCCGTCTTGTTGGCTTTCATTCCCCAGCTGGTCTCGTGGAGGTGGTGGGCAGCCACGGGCTTCCTCTGGCCTGTCTCCATTCCCACCTGTCTTGATTCTGTTTTCATAATTCAGTGCCTTTGAAGGCCTCTCTTGTGCCAGTATGATCTGACACGGATCAGTAGGAGGAAGTGACTTGTCCCTTTGGAAACGGTACATCGCTCATTGAGGAGGAAGAGCTTGCCCGGTCGTGTTGGTCGCTGCTCGGATAAAGGGTCGATGCAGAGAGGTTAATGTTTGCTGTCATGACAGAGCATCAGGCTGCTGTGCTCTGTCTCGCTTTCTAGAATGGAACCACTGAAGTTAACCTTGGCCTCCGAAGTCTGGAGACCCCGTGGACAAGTCACTCCTCAGGATCTGTTTCAAAGTGAGAGGGTCAGATTAAATCACTAAGTGAGGCTGAATCACCCATCAGTCTGTGATCTTGAGATATCAAAATCCCTTCATTTTCCATACAGACACTGGACACCACGAGTATTCCTTCTGTACTTCCTCCACATCATGGACTCTGGGAATCCTGGGTCTTTGTGGTCCATCTTTTCTCCTAACCCCCACCCCCTTCATTGTCAATTGTAAGCCTTCTTGAAGGTCTCTTGCTCCCACATGCTTCCAACTCACTTCCCTTCCCTCCGTTACTTGCCTTAAAACCACAGTCCAGAAACTTGCAGCCAGATCTGCAAAACCATCCACCTCACCGACTTTTTTTGCCTATCCTGTGCCGTGCCATGCCCTGCTCTGAGGTGAGCATTGGGAAGGATGCACACCCAGGTCCAGATGGAAAATATTCACACACTTACTGTCAGCAAATTGTACCTAGGGGAGGCACAAATTGAGAGCTGTGTGAGGCCCTAGGAAAGAGTCTGGGCTCCAGGAGCCCCTGGGAAATGTTTTGTGGAGGGGGTGCCATTGGATCTGGATCTTTGGAGGAATGAGAATGATCTCAACAGGTGTAAACGTGGGAGGGGGACATTCCAATCACAGGAACAGCTGGAGCAGGGGGGGAAGGGGAGGTGTCGGGGAGGGCAGGCGAAGCCTGGGGATGATAAATTTGGCCCGGCCACATTATCCATGAAACAAGTGGGAGATGAGGCAGGAAAAGCAGATTTTGCACCTCCCTCAGTACCAAGCTACCATGTTAGGGTTCTGTTTCCTCGATGCCGGAGAATCTCAAAGACAGCCCTAAATCTGGGGGACTTGAAAAGATTAAAGCACCCCTCCAACCTCCTCACTCTTGGCTCTCGGGAAGTCTTTCCTGACGTTAAACCTAAATTTGTCCTTTTGCGACTTCTAATCAGTGCTTTTGGTTCTGCCCTATGAGGGCCAAGGAAGTCTAGTTCTGCATTTTGTGGAACCCTCCCACCTTGACCCTTGTCTTCCCTGAGCTAAATAAACATCCCCAGTTCCTTCCACCGACCCTCTGGTGGCAGCTGGTAGGATCTGCCTCTAGAAAAGTGCTAGCTTCTCAGCTTTTTTCCTTCAACGTGGCCGGACCTGAGCTGAGGAATCAGTCAAGGTCTCGGCCCGACCTGCTCATTCTACATCCAGGAGAGCAACCCAAGGTCCTGGCCCGACAGATTGAACAAGCAGTCACTTCTCATGAAGATTCGCCACGTGTCACCACCCACTTGGCTTCTGGGGTAATTGATGTTTTGGACCTACGGAAAGGAATTTATATTTATCCTCATGATGTTTCACCACCTTAGTTCGGGTCTGTCATTGCTCTCTGTTGAAAACTTTGTGGGTCTCAATTAAGACCCCCATCCATTCCTCTGAGCTTTAGGTATTTCCCAGATTGGGTAAACTGCTGTGAGGATCATCCTGATTTCACAAGGCTCCACCCTTGGGACGCGTCCCAACCTCTCTGGGCCTGCCTTCTCCGACGCCCTCTCGGGATTCAGAACCAGCCCCTTCATCCAGTCACCTCTGAAGAGTCAGGAACTTAACAGAAGCTGCACGGTAGGGTAGGGGTAGTCGATGATACATAAAGAAGCTAAACCACCACCAGAAGTCTGGGGAATGGGACATCAGAGACCAAGCCAGAGAGGAGAAGGTTGAAGCATTTCCCCTGGGAGACTCTTCAGAGCAGGAGGTCCTGGCTGGGGACTGGACCTGTCATGTCCAGACCAGGGCCATGAAGCTCATGGGAATGGGGGGCACCAAGCCAGCCCTCGCTGACTTGGCAAGCCCCATATTCATGTCATCCGTGTTCCAGTTGTTGGAACCAGTGAATCTGGCCGGGAGGGAGTGCCGGAGGCCAGGGCTGTGGATTGGACCCCTCTGGTCTGGGCACTCTGGGAGAGGGGTGCCCTGTGTACCAGTGTGCAGATCAGTAGCATCCAGGGCATTGAGTGGTTAGGGGCCATGCCCAGGGACACACAGCTACTTTTGTGTCGAGGCTGGACTTGAACCCAGGCCGAGTCTGACTCGAGTTCATACATTTATTATGTGTGAGTCTGCCTGGATTCCAGGACTACAGGAAAGCTCCGTGGGGTTTACTAGGGTGGTGAGTCTAAACCAGGAAGAGGGCAGCAGGGAGGGATGGTTGGTGGTGGGGAGGCTGCTAGGACTTTGGACCATGGAGTCAAAGGCTGGTGGATGGAGCCAGAGGAAGAGGGAGATAGACTGGGAGAACTGGGCAGGGGGCTGCGAAGGACCCGAAGGTTAGAAGGGGTAAAGAGGGAGGGAAGTTGATGCGGGTCCTGGACTGAGCTCTCTTACTCTACCCCTGGAGGGGTGAGAGTGCCCACGGTGAGCTCTGGAGAGAAGTCAACGAGGCCTTTCTTAAGTGCCTACTGTGTGCCGAGCCCTCTGCACGGGAAGGAGGCTGGGGTGGGGCCCAGGCCATTGTGACGCCTGATGACCCCTCAGAATGGGTCCAGGGCAGAGCCAGGCACAGAGGGCTCGGTCAGGGCCGGGCTGGGCCAGGCTCGGCGAGGAGGGCGTCTGGCCAGGCGGACGCATGGCAGAAGCTGAAGAAATCCTGCTCCAGCTTCAGAAGGACAACAGAGATGGACGGCTGAGGAAGCAGGAGCTGGAGGAGCTGATGAGGATCCTAGAGACGGAAAGCGATAGCCTGGTTCTGACACTGAGGAGCCTGAGGGAGCGCGAGCGCAGGTGAGCCTCCCCTCCCCCACCCCATGAGCCTTGTGGAGTCAGGAGCTGGAAGGGAGATGGGGGCGCCTCTCCAGAGACCCCCATCCAGGCTGCGAGGGGCGAGGAGGAAAGAGGAAACTGAGGCCCGGAGAGGGGGAGGGGCTTCCAGAGGCCGCAGGAGCGTTAATAGAATCCTAGGGTTCTAGAGGTGGGGAGGAGCCGGAGATCCTCAGGTGTGGACTCCTTCATTATTTATCCAGGTAAACTGAGACCCAGCTTTTGCTTTTATTTTTAAAATTTGGTAAATTGTATCGAGGCATTTCATTTTTGCATCACAGAATGTATTGCTAGACAGAGACAGAATAACAGAGACAGAGAAAGAGAGAGAGAGAGAGAGAGATTCTGAAAACCTAGAGAGGCTCAAACAGGAGAGAATGACCAGGGTCAGAGGCTGCAGGTCAGAGGTCGAGGATGGGAGATAAGGCCCCTGAGAGGTCATTCACTGGATGGAGCAGTCCCACTGAACCCCAGTAAGCGGAGAGGAAATAGAGGCCCCTGATGGACGGTCCTTCATGAGTTCAGCCACCCAAGGCGGGACAGACAAGGTCTGTTACTGGGGCTGGGTGGGTGAGCTGAGTGAGGGCTTTTGAAGAAGGCGGACACGGGCAGTCTCGGTGTCCAGTAGACAGGGAAAGACTGAAGCCAAGGGAGGGAAAGGGGCTGCCTTGGGTCAATCTGCTGGAGGAGCCAGATGGTGTGGGGTCACTGGTGTGTGTCTGAGGAGAAGGGCCACCTCACTGTGTGAGACAGGGACGGAGAAGGAGGGAGGGAGGGAGGAAGGCATCTGGGGGTGGGAGAGGAGAAGCAGGAGAGAAGAGGGAGCCTTCTGTCGATGGCTGGCCTCCATTTTGTCAGTAAAATCGGAGGCAGAGTTTTCAGCTGAGAATCAGGGTTCGGGGTCCAAGACTCATTCTTCGTCCGATAAGCGTCTAGTATGCATCGGGTCCGGAAATTCCAAGATGAAAACAAGACAGTGTTTGCCATCAGAAAGCTCTGGAAGGCCCCAGCTGTTGGACAGTGTTTCTAGTGGAACACACCTCCCTGTGATGTCTACAGTTCCTCTGCCCTCTGAGGCCAGGCAGGCCGAAGCTGGCTCTTCTGCCCCAGGGCATCCCTACAGATACTTAAGCTGCCATCAATCCCACTTGTCCCCCCCCCCCCCCACAAGCCTTCTCTTCTCCAGCCTAAGTGAAATCAGTTCCTCAAACTGACCCTCATGTGTGAAGGGTCATCTCCCCATCCTGAGATTCTCATCTGGAAACTCATCTGACAGCCTCGTTCTTCAGCTGGGGCCCCTGTGGGGCACAGCACACCCCTCTTCTGCTAAGACTGTGGCTGGCTTTTTTTTTTTTTTAGTGGTAATTTTTATTTATTTTTTTGTTTTCAACATTGATTTCCACAAGATTTTGAGTTCTAAATTTTCACCCCATTTCGCCCCTCCCCCACCCCAAGATGGCAGGCATTCTGAATACCCCTTCCCCTAGTCTGCCTTCCCTTCTATCTCTCCCCCCGCCTTCTCTTATCCCCTTCCCCTTCTATTTTCCTGTAGGGCAGGATGGATTTCTGTACCCCATTTCCTGTATTTCTTATTTCCCAGTTGCATGTGAAAACATTTTTTTTTAAACATGTGTTTTTAAAACTTTGGGTTCCAAATTTTCTCCCTTCCTCCCTCCCCACCCCCCCTCATTGAAAAGGCAAGCAACTCAATATAGGTTATATATGGGCAGTTATGCAAAAACACTTCCATAGTAGACATGCTGTGAAAAACTAACTCTATTTCCCTAAATCCTATCCTGCCCCCCCCATTTATTCTATTCTTTCTTTTGACCCTGTCCCTCCTCAGAAGTATTTGCTTCTGATTACCCCCTTTCCCAATCTGCCCTCCTCTCTATCATCCCCCTACTCTCTTGTCCCCTTCCCCTCCTATTTTCCTGTAGGGTAAGACAGATTTCCATATCCAATTGAGTGTGTATGTTATACCCTCCTTAAGTCAAATCCTATGAGAATAAGATTCACTCATTCCCTCTCACCTTCCTCCATTTCCCCTCCACTGTAAGAGCCTTTTCTTTTCTGTTTTTTTTTTGTGAGATAATTTACCCCATTCTACCTCTCCCTTTCTCCTTCTCCTGGTATAATCCTCTCTCACCCCTTAATTTTATTCTCCAGATATGACCCCTTCATCTTCAGCTCACCCTGTGCCCTCTGTCTACTGTGGCTGGCTTTGTGGGGCCTTCTCGATGGCCAAATCACACTGTGGAGTCTGATTGAGAGTGGCCCACCGAGCACCCCCAGGGCTTTTCCCTATGAATTGTTTTCTCACCCACTGGAAATTATGCAATAGATTCCCTCCCCCCCAATCAACGGAGGGAGCCTTATTAGATTTCACCTTCCCAAAGAGAAGCAGAATACAGAAGCAGCCAGAGAGCTGGAGCCCCAGGGCCAGGAGGATCTGGGTTCTGATCCTGCCTCTGGCCCGTCACTTGCCCTCTCACTCATGAGACTCTCTGACACAGAGAAGGTGCCAGCCCCCACTTCTTCACCAGGGAGATTCTGGCCCGTTACTCAGGAGATGGTGACAACAGTTCCCATCCCTAATTTCATTTTAATGGATTCTAGCGTGTTGAAATCCTTTTTGGATCCCAGTCCTGCCATCTGGAATGTGGGCCTGCCCTTTTTTTGGCCTCATCAGCCCTAGTAAACATTTTTTTTCTTTTCCATTTTTTTGAATATTTTTTATTTTTATTTTTTTATTAATTTTTTTTGATTTATCAATAATCACTTCCATATGCTTTTGAGTTTAAATTTTTCTCCCCCTTCCTCCCCACCACCCTCCCTAAGACGGCACACAATCTGATATAGGCTGTACATTTACATTCATATTAAACATATTTTCACATTAGTGATGTTGTAAGCAGAAATTAAAATCAATAGGAGGAACCATCAGAAAGGGGAAACAAAACTGAACAGAAGAGAAAAAAAATAACAATTTGGCTTCCATAGTTCTTTCTTTGGGTGTGGATGGCATTTTCCATCACAAGGCCTCTGGAGATGTCTTAGATCCTTGTATTGCCAGGAAGGGTTAAGTTTATCAATATTAGTCATCACACAACATGGCTGTTACTATGTACAATGTTCTCCTGGTTCTGCTCACTTCACTCAGCATCAGTCCATACAAGTCTTTCCAGGTTTTTCTGAAGTCAGCCTGTTCATCATTTCTTATAGCACAGTAGTATTCCATCACATTCATATACCACAGCTTGCTCAGCCATTCCCCAGTGGATGGGCATCCCCTCAATTTCCAATTCTTTGCCACCACAGAAAGAGCTGCTATGAATATTTTTGTACATGTGGGTCCTTTTCCCATCTGTGTGATCTCTTTGGGATATAGCCCCTAGTAAACATTCTGAACGGGACTGTGCCATGGACAGAGCGCAGGGAGCACGGGCGCCCGCCATCACCTCGGGAAGGACTCCTGTTGGGTTCCAGCTGTTCCTTCAACCCGCTTAGTGAGCAGGGGGTGGTGCGAGCCCAGCTAGGGAGCTGCCCTCATCTTGACATCCGAGCATCTTTGGGCCTGAGCACCTCTAACCTTGCCACCTTCTGGACCTCGCCATCTTGTTCACCACTCAGGGGCTTGATCACTTGCCATTGCTGCGACGCAGACCACGAGAACAGGTTCCTGATGAGCTCAGGCTCCCCCTTCCTCGTGATCCCGAAGCCCCCCAAGTCCCCACTTTCCTAGCCTTGAGCTCGGCGCCCTCACTCAGGCCTTCTGAGGCCAAGCCCAGGCTCCACGAACTTCCGTCTTGTCCCTAGACAAGAATCCCAGATGAGACAGCAGTGGGAGGGACCTCCGAGGCTGCCTGGGGCGCAATGGGGACACGATTTAAGTGCCGCAAAGCTCTTTTGATACCCTGTGCTATTTGATCCTGTGAGGCAGGCACGGCGGGCTATTATCCCCACTTGACAGATGAAGAAACTGGGGCTCAGGTTAGGAGCCATGCTGCATTCCAGCGTCCCTGACAAGCGGTCATCCTCATCTCCACTGGGAGACCTCCAGGGGGCCAAGGAGGCCAGAGCAGCCTGGCGAGAGGCCTTGGTCAATGGAGATCCCTGTTCAGCAATGCAGTGAGATGGCAGATTGCCGTATCCCCTGGCTGGCCTCCTCCGACCTGGACATTTCTGCCACCTCCCAAAGCTCTTCCCACACTCTCTGAACATCCCCAGAAGTCCCGGTGCAGCCCGGACACACCTGCCTTCTCTGGCCGGGACCCCAGCCCAGAAGGCCCGGGGCCAGAGGAGATCTCACTGTCTGCCCCTCCGCGCTCTCATAGGTGCAGGCTGGCACAAACCACCGACAAGGGCGGGCTGGACGCAGGGACCCAGGAGGGCGGGGGAGGAGGGGGAGCGGAAAAAGGCTAAGGGGGAGGAGGAAGAGGAGGGGGAGGGGGAAAAAGGGGAAGGGGGACGAGGGGGGGCGGAGGCAATTTCATTTTAGCTCCGTGTCCCCAGCTCCCAGTACAGCCTGGTACACAGTAGGTGCTTAATAAAGACCTGTTGGGCCGGCTCAGCGGAGAGGCAGCACAACCCTGTTCCCCGGCCCACTCATGCTCAGTGCCTCCCTCCCGTAGCCTTCAGCGGAGGCTGAACCAGGCAGCCGGGGCCCTCCGAGGGGAGGCCGAGGACGTGGTCAAGAGCCGAGCGGCCCGCACCCTGGAGCTCATCGCTGAGGCTGCCGCGCAAAAGCTTATCCTGGTGAGGGGTCCGGGAGCCGGGACTGGGGCTGGGGGCCGGGGACTCGAACCCAGACCCTGCCCCTTCCTTGACTCTCGGCCCGCCGGCTCTTCTTCAGGAGAGGAACAACCAGTTACTTCAAAAAGAATGGGAAGAGCTTTCCAGTCAGGTACGGGGTCTGGGGCGGGGGGGGGGGGGGGGGGGAAGATAGCCGGAAGCCTTGAGCGACGGCGAAGCACGGGGGCCAGGGCCCCACGCAAGGAAGACCCTGCTCCTCTCGGCGACCTCCTGGGCGCGCCACTGGGCCTCTCCGGGCTGGACTGTAAGATTTCTGAGGGCCCTCCCGGCTCCAGCCACGTGCCTGCCCTCGCTAAGCCTCAGTTTCCCCAGCTGTAAATGGGGCGCGTGTGGACTATATTATGACCAGACGTAGGCTGCCCACCTCCCTCTCCCCCCAGAACGATTCATTGACATGCCCTCCCTGGCCCTCCCGGCCTCCCCGGACCCCACTTGCCTCCTCTCTCCCACAGCTGTTCTACTACGGGGGGGAGCTGCAATGTCAGCGGAGGCAGCACCGGCGCCTGCAGGCGGAGCTGCTGAGCCTACAGGTGGGGGGGCGGGGGGGGGGGGGGGGGGGACCCCGCCGGGGCTCCGGCCACGGCCAAGAGGAGGCTGACCCGGCCCGTCTGTCCTTCGTGTAGGAACAGCTGGAGATAATGGAGTCGAGGTCCGTCCTCCAGGCGGAGGGGATCCAGAAGGTGAGTGTGAGCGTGAGTGTGAGAGCGTGTGTGCGTGTGTGCGAGCACGTTGTGTGTGAGAGCGTGTGCGCGTGTGAGAGCGTGTGTGCGCGTGTGTGAGAGCGTGTGTGTGTAAGCGTGTGCGCGTGTGAGAGCGTGCGCGCGCGCGCGTGTGAGAGCGTGTGTGTAAGCGTGTGCGAGCGTGTGTGCGCGTTGTGTGAGAGTGTGTGTGCGTGTGAGCGCGCGTGTGCGTGCGAGAGCGTGTGTGCGTGTGTAAGCGTGTGCGAGCGTGTGTGCGCGTTGTGTGTGAGCGCGTGTGCGTGTGTGTGAGCGCGTGTGCGTGTCTGCGCATTGG